TCATCCCCAGGGGGTGGGGGAGGGTGGGGGAGGGTGTGAGCGGCTGTGAGGAGTTTATTTGCCGGAGCGGACTAAACCACGACAAGAAGAAAAAGGTAAATTTGAGAGATTAGGAGAAGACATCACACCTGCCAGCACTACCTAGAGCCTCAGACAGTTGGTAATCAAATAGTGGACAGCCCTGCAGAATCAGTCCTCCAAACAACAGATGAAAACAAGCGTGAGAATCTCTGAAACCATCTGGAATCATTAATATAGATATCCACCTTGTATTTCTTAGTGAAGAGCTGGTTTCTGTGTGTAGCAGGATTATGGTGAAATTGAAAGTGAAATTTCTGGGCTTTATTATGTGACCCTGAAGAAAATATATTAGCTAAGTATTTATAAACAATAAGTTTCTATGATTATGGGCCTTTTAGGCCTTTCAGGAAAATCAGCAATATACATGTAGATCACAAGAGTTATCATCACACATGAACTGGACCTTGCATTACTGACAGAGTCCACATGCTTTTTCATTTATTTTGACAAGTGTACTACTGCACTTCAATAGTTTCATACCAAAACATCGATTTCAGAGTATCTGGCCTACTAAATGTCAAATCTGTCGTAATAGTCACACCAGAGAATTTTCCCAGACGTTTGATGACCTTTGCATTTCTAAGTCTTGCAAAGACACTCTAGGTTCATATAACCACCCTTCTGTAAGAAGTGGGGTAGATGACCACAGAGGGCACCTCCTTACATCAAAACTTGACTCTAATACTTGCAGAAATGGTGAAACAGGCTTTTGCTATTCTTTCGGTCAAGACAAGCAGAAGCCACAACCACTGATAATACCAATCTGGACAATGGTTCTTTTCAATTTGTTTTGTGGGCAAAAAATTGCTCTCGTCTTCACATAAGATATTATATTACCTAATGATTTCTTTTCTACTATTAACTCCTAAGGTCTTACCAACTTGATCAAGGACATGACACAGCCACAGAATGTATCAGGGTTGCTATTAAATCCATCAAATCTAACCATACACTAAATTGTTATGAAACCAATTAACTGCTGGCCTGAATTCATTTGGTCATACTCAAATCATTTCCTGTCAAACATCTGCAGAGGATCAAGTTATTCCTCATGGTTTTGCCATAAAATTTTTCATATTTCTTTAATCCATTTTTTTCACAGACTCAGGATTCCTGATTTTTTTTTATCCAATTTCAATTTGAAGTGGAACAATCTTCATATATTAAACTAGGAAAGTTTTGATACCATTACTCTTTGTGTATCAGTTCTGAATTCACTTCTATCCCAGTTACACATATTTTGCTGATGCTGTTATTTCTGCATAACGTTTTTGCTTGGACTCTCACTCTACTCCCACTGAAGTCATTCAGTTGGAATCTCCATCACTTTAAATAATCATTATACTGCGCAAAGGGAAGAAATATGAAATAGCTAGACAGTAGGAAAAAAGTCTATTACTTACACTAAAATATAGCTGGATTGGGAATAGGGCTAAACAAAATCAAGAATTAATAAAAATTAGCATACCGTTTTTTCTTTTTGGTCAGTTTTGCTGATCAGGAAGTTTGTAGGTTTTGTCTTTCTCTCAAATATATACCGCTGTTTTCCAGTAAAACCCACTACAGGAAGCGTAAGGCAATAGCTTTTCACAAGTTCTAGATGGAAGCGTATTTTGCTCCGATACAAACTTCCCTGATACAACTGAATAAGTTCAGATAACTAAAAAGTTTTGTGAAAAGGAAGAAAGCAATTGAGCTAAAGACTTTGCAAGTAAACAAGAATCCTAGAAAAGGAGAGACTGCAGATCCTGTCTCCTCTTGCCAACTGTATTTTTACCCCTACTCCATTCAAAAGCATAAATCCTCTCCCACATTCTGGCAGACACTTTCCTCTGTCTGCATTTAATCAACATTTTCCTATTACAGGCTCAGTTTTCCCTCCTTCAACTTTTATCACTTGTCCTTCATTAAGAAAACAAATCAAATTTTCCTTCTTTAGTTCTCTCATTTCTTCCAACTCAGTCTTCCTCTAGACATGAAAGAAAGATCATTATCCACTACCCCATCATGCGCCAGCAGGTACAACTTGCTTCTTTAAGTGTTGTAAATACTAGCTAACATTTTTCCCAACGCACCCAATGTGATGAATTCAAGGGTGCTTCAGCTTGAGAAGCACTGTATGGAACAAGACTTGTAGAGTGTTAATAAACACAACATGACACAAGTATGTATGGTAAGAAGAAAAACCTACTGAAGTCAGAAAAATTTGTATGGGCTTCAAGGAGCTTTGGGTGAGGTCTTTGATGCTTGCACTAGTAAGAGAGAGAGCTAAAAGGGACGGGAGAAATGGATCCTCGAAACTGTCCAGTTTATTCACAGCGAGACTATTTAAGGTCATATCAAGCTATTCCTGTGCTTGTTCTGTACATCATAAATAATCACTGAAGGGAATAACTACTGTTGGGGTTACTCCATAGAGAAGATGCTATTTGAATTTTAGAATAACAGGAAATGGAGTTATATATTAAGCTTGAAATAGCTTTTACTGTCCATACTAGATGAGCTTCTCATGACAAGCAATATCATATTTTACCAGAAGATTGCCTCCTTGTAATCAGACAAAATGAACTCCTTTATTTTCCCCTCAAAATATTTCAAATGTTTTCATATATATGACCTACTTTAGGTCAGAGTTACCAATTATTATATGCCTAATTATACAATGATACCAGTTTGACCTTAGGTGGGAATTAATACTACAAGTCTATTTTGCAGCCAAAATGATACGAGATTATTATTACGTATATACACACACATGCACGATTCTGTCACTATTCAAAGTGCACTCAGTGTGGAAGTTTAGGCAATATGAACTTTTAATGCAGGTTCAAATAATTCTTTTATGCTATTCATGGCGGTACTTAGTGCTTACTGTATCAAGTGGTAAAGCAGAACACAGAACTAAAAGCAATACCTCTGTTGTAGCAACTCTCCACCAATATTCCTGAAAATACTGATTTTTACCTTCTGTTCAACTTAACCCTGGGAACCAGGTTTAAAATACTGACTTGAAGAAAATCTATACAATGGTCAAGTTAAATAAAAAACCTGATCATTTTCAGAATATCACACAAGTCATACGTGTTATGATCTAACCTTCTGGAGCTGGTTTACTCGCGTTTGTTTTTTCTGGATCCTTCACCTTGGCTTTATTTGTTTCTTTTCTTCTCTCTATATCTTTAACTGAAAAGTAAGGGGGAAAAAAATCATCAGTCAAACTAGAAAGAGTGCAGTCAGAAGCATGTAATTTTCTTCTTCCAAATAAAGACATTGCACGCAACATCTTGCAATATGTTTAGGTAACAAGTAACTGTTACTGGGTTTTCCCTCCCTCCCTTTGGGTTTAATCTTTTTATGAATCTTTCTCCATCCTATCATCATTAAAGTTCTCAAAAGTGAGTCTCCTCACACAGGAGAGTCCAAATACAGTGACATCAGCACCTAAGCCCACGCTGACAAGATCCAACACTGGAAATATAGCCCAGAAAATTGGCAAAGCAAGCTGGGAGAAGTCCAGCACTGCAGAGTTCCACTCCAAGTCATTCAACACAAAAGCACACAAGCCAGCTGTTACATTATCCTCTTTAAAGAATCAGCTTAGATCCCATGCCCAAATCTGTGTTCAGGGCACCAAACACTCCCATGAGAGCAGAGCTGCTCCAAAGCTCAGACTTCAACAGCTTCCTGTCCCACAAGTGGGTGGGATACCTCCCTTATTATGTCCCAAATCTCTCATAACAGCCAAGAAGAACCCAGCTTGATTAGCAATTCCTAATATTACATTAGTAGCTAGTATCACTCTTGCTCATAGTCTGAAAGATTCTGGCAAAAATCACTGCTAAAGTCACATGTTAGGGAAAAAAAATCCTTTCAGAATTTCCTTAGAATGCTAATTGGTGTCAACGTCCCAGCTGTCTATAATGGACAGGAACAACTTAAAAGAATGAAACAGAGAATATCTTTCATAGAAAATAAAATTCTACTCCAGTTGAAATCTTTGATTTATGTAGAGCTGGATTATGACCAACATTCATCCAAGCAGGCACTGAGTCTTAGCCAGGATGAGAGTCTCTCTGTGCTACATCGTTCGAAAAACCCTGTGAGAGGGTGAGAGGTTATCTGTCTCTTGAAACATACAATATAAAATACATAATACAAGTATCCTGTTTTACAGAAGTGAAACCAACGTCAAATTGATTTTGCTAATTTACCCAGTAGTATATGGTATATCTGAAATAGCCAAGAGTGCTCTAAGTTCCAATTCAAAAGATAATCACAAGACCACCCTCAAGGTCTTAGGAAGACAACAAGCCTTTGTCAAACATCTGAGCATCACCTTCTCAGTGTGATAACCCTCTGCAGAACCTACAGCCTCCAGGTATAGGAGTAGGAAAACTGGTGAAAAAATAACTGAAATTTTGATTGCTCTGCTTACTAAAACAGCATGTGTACCTCTACATCACCTCTACCTTTAGCGAACGCTTGTGAAACTGATTCAGAAGCAAATTCAGGTCCACAAGCTCACAAGCTTTACCAAGGTAGGTCTTGATTATTAGCTGGGTTACAGATAAAGCCATGATGACACCAGGTTTTACTCAGAAGTCTGGGTTTAATCCTTACCTAAACAGTCTCTGACTAAAAGGAAAGAGGTGAAATTACCAGAATAATACTAGTCAAAAAGGATGTCAGTGTTTAGCCTTCTAAGAGTATTCCTTTAAGAACAGGCTAAGAGCAACCTAAGGAGCTTCCTGATGGCCTCCTCTAATGCTAGTGCTGTTGAGTGGAAAGTCTCCAGAGCAACAGTAAAAAAAGTCTGAAAATGCTCATAGGTGACAGGTTGGACACAACCTGACAGAGATTTCTGGATTTGGGAAAGCCATTTCTGACTGTCAAAATTCAGACGGCACCAGTTTTACTCACATATTTACACCGACAAAAAACTTACATAGTGCATGTTTTTACAGCTACATTTTAAAAAGAAAAAATTCTCCAGTCATCTTTGTTAATTACATACTATGTACAATAACTTACAAGCAGCACTAGAATGAGAAATTATACCTGGCTATATAAAGAGGAATTTTATTGTATGCTTGAGAAATTTTTGTACATCAGTTACAACTCAAGAGCATTAAAAATACACTTCCAATGCACTAAACCAGAGGATATTCTCAAAGCTTTGTGTATGTTTGACCTTTTTTCATCTCAAGAATTAGTAAGCTCTTGTCAGGGAAGGGAAAAAAAACACAGAATACAGAATAGCAAACAAGAAGCATTTGTACACATGCCGTATCTGGTTTTACCCATGCGAGGCATCATATTGTCAAATGAAACTCCAGCCTCGTTAAGTACCACATGTTTTCACCCGCAGCAAAAAAAAAAGAGTATATTAAGTAGAACATAACCCCCATATTCTTAAGTCAAGTTGCCAGCTCTACTCTTCCTGAAGTATAGTGGTAGTCTGAAAAACAGTCAGACCTAATATTATAGAAGTTAGTGTAGCTTTTTGTGGGCTGCTCTTTAATGCTAAAGTAACCTGTGGTTTTGTGGGTTTCCTAACTGGGATAGGACCTAAAGTACTAAACACACAGTTGCAGTGATGAAAAGCTAGAAAGACTTTGACACACACCACGTCAAGCAGTCAGCATATGTTATCTTGTGCTGGTTCTAAAAGAAAGGTGGTTTACCAATGACAGTGAGAAATAGTGAGTGGTAAGGGAATTCAGCAAGCTTTCAACTGTACTCTCAGACTGTCAAGCAAATCTCCATTGATCCTCTGTAACTGATTTGTTTAACATGTAGATAAAGACAAATCAGCTAAGACATATGTATGATATAGACATTAAGACACTATGATATAGACATTAAAAATATTTGTAGATCAGATAAAAAAAGCCTTAAGCATAATTTGTAAACATACTTGACAGTTGAAGATCAGTAAGAATTTAGCCTTTCATAGTATCATTGAACTAGCAACTAGTTGCCAGTTGGCACAGTTATAAGAATATTTTCGTTAAAAGTTGGATGAAGGGTAGGAAATTTTTTAAGTATCAAAGCATAACACTTCCCTTCTTGTTTCTGCTCACTGAAGATTCTCTTCTACGAGATACTGGCTAGTTTCATAATGGAATGGGGAAGATAGCCCAAAGCAAGAATCTCCTGTGCAAGACTGACTGGATCAATTCAGGCCTCCAGCTGCAAATATACATATAACATATGTATATATGTTAAAATCTGTGGCTCTGATTAGCCTTCCACCACAGAAGAAACTGTTTTTCCATTGTCCCACTTTGTGTCAGACTTTGTGACAATTTTGTAAGTTACAGTAAATATCTGATAAATTCTGCATGTCAGGCACAAAAAGACACATACTTCTGAACTGGCCTTGTGCTGGCTTGCTCTCCTTGTCTTCGCTGAATGCAATGATCTGAAGGGCATAGTTTTGATCTGGAATAAGACCTTGAATAATTGCTTTGGTTGCAGTGTTTTGGAGAATTAATTGATTGGTTTTTCCACCTGTAAGAGAAAAGACAAAAACCCCACAAATACATAACTTTGTTTGCTTTTCTTACAGCACAATAAATGTAATGACTTAAAACTAGCTCAAACTCTTCAATGACCCAAGTATTCCCACTTTTGGGACTATCCATACAGCCAGGCCAGAGCGTATCCCAAAAAAGCAAGAAGTCAGGCAGCCTGACCAAAGACATGCATCAGTTTTCTTAGAAACATTCTAAGATCAATCAATCAGCCTTTGCATCTGGGGCTCATGGAACAGCTATGGTGCCCAGCAAAACTACTAAGAAAAACACACCTGACAAAAAGCTGTCAAGTTTGGTAACATCATACCCACAGTCTTTCACACTGCTCTGTGATTGGCTGTTAGTCCTGATCCCATCATACCCATGTCATTTCTGAACACTCTCTTTGCCCACTTCCTTTGAACAAGGAAATTCTCATGTATAATTACAAATATTAAATATTTATATGCATGTATCTATATAAAGACTGTACAATACGTACTTTTGCTGTATGTTAAAAGTGTATCTATATATAAATTTAAATATGTATAGAAATAGCGTCTATACACAGGTAGCCCGATACAGCCACTTTGTTGCCTATTTTACATTTCAAGTTTTCATTCAAAAAAATTTTTAAAGTTTTTTGTTGTTTTTTTAAAAAAGTTCAGTCTAAAATCTTTTTGGTCTTTTCTGGGGAGCTCGCTATAGGAGAAGGCCCAGAGAGATCCACTTCAAAGCTCTGTCCGAAACAGGGTTCCGACGTTCTCCCTTGAACACTTCCTAGACTTCCTTACACCCCACTGGAAAAAGGTAACGACAGATGACACTAGCCTCAGAAAAGCTGTTCAGCTTTAGGATGACAGTCCTTTCACCTTAAAAAAGAACACACAGACTTTTGGTTTACCTGAACTTGGAGTGACAAGAAGCTTATATCCAGTGATTTGCCCTTTGGGGGCTTTCCAAGAGATCTGTACACTGTCAGGACTGACTACATTATATCTTAGTCTTGTTGGTGGGGACACTGCAAGTGGGGAAAGAAAACGGGATTTTAAATTCAAATAAAAAGCAACTGCCAATTTTAAACATAAAAATAAACACATATAGGAAGACAACACAAAATTTTAATGATAAAGGATGCAAGTTATTCAAAATGTCACATACATCAGGTTGTATTAGTTTGTAAAACAACATCCCCAGGTGCACTACTTCCCTCAGACATAACTTTTATTTATCTCTTTATAAAAACAAACTAACACCTAACAGCAGAGGACAGAAAGACAAACAGTGTTAGATGTTAAGACTCTAGTTTAGCAGGCAAAGCTGGTAATAAAAATGCTCTTTGTTAATATATGGAAATTAAAATTGCTCTCCTTGCTTACACTGACAATATACATTACCTAGCCTCCTTTACCTCACATTACTGTGGGTGTTGCCCCACATTTAAGGTCATTCAGGGCCAAATTTTCAAAGCGTTGTGAAGACACAGTGACCAAGAGGAAAGATAGGCATGCACAAGGCAGAAGGAACATCAGAGCTGCTCAATTTGCAAACCTGGCCTAAGCAGCAAACACACTTGCTTAGCTGCAAGCGCTGCTTCGCTCTCCGCAAGACTAGCAGGCATGCTCAGGCTAGTCGAGATTTAGACAAGGGCAATCTGGAGATGGTAAGGAAATTTGGCTTCTATTTATAGTGTGCCATCACCTAGGTTTCAAATAGAAGCAGCAGGTGAAATGAATAAAAGCATGGAATGATTGAAAAAGAAGTGATATTTCAGAGAAGCTATGCACAGGGGAACAAACGAAAATCCACTCTAGGTTGTCACCGCAATGTGGGCGATGTTGTGCCCGGGTACATGAACCAGCCTTTCACAGCTTTGCACCTCTCTGCTCAGGCAAGCTCCGCTGATGGTGGACAACACTCTGCAGAGCGTTTCTGCTCTGCTCCAGGGAGCCACATCCCTCCTTCACAGCGAACAACTGAAGCAGAGCTGCTCCGTGTGCAGCCTGTGGTATCCAGGCTGCCAATAATGGGAAATCTTTGTCCATTTGAACAGGGGTTGGCCCACAGAGAACTAACTGATCTAGAGGGAAAGGCAGCCAGGGAAGCTATCCAGAGGCTGAGCAACAGAAAGGGCTAGAAAAAGCTTAGCTAACTCCTCCATTAGCCTTACTCCTCCTCTTCCCACTACCTCCGCAATCCCTCTTAACTTTTTCCTACATTTTCCAAACCCTTGGTGCCTCTGCCACTACCATGCTTAAGGTTTCTGTTGATAAGTCCAAGAAATAAGGGAAATTATCTGAAGAGGAGCAGTGGCAATTTCTTTGCCCCAGAGCCCAAGATAGCTCTTAGCTGACTATGTTCATGCCCACAGTTTGTTGGCCCACTAGATACAATCAACCAATTATTATCTTATGATATTTCTGAGATGTAAGGATTACAGCATATGGAGCATCTGAGTCAACAGGCAGAACATGCTAGCCAACGGTCTCCGGCCTCTCCATTTGACCTGCTACAGCCAATGCAGCTCTGGCACTAGCAGCAGCCAAAAACCTGTTCTGAACTGATTGCTTTTTCCTACGTGCTTCTTTTTCCAAGAGTTTGGGTGAAGAAAGAAGGAAAGAGGCAAGCTGTAATTTATTTTTTTTTTAAGATTTTCAGTGGTGGTTTTTAATGTCATCTAACATTAAAAACATTTTGGGTCTTCGAAGTAAAAATCTGCAGGTTTAGTACAAGACATGTATTCCCTTGCATCCGGCCTTTCAATCCATAAGAGGCAGTTTTGCCAGAGCAAATGCAGGTTCTGCAGTTCTCTGCCTTGAGGCAGAACACAGAAAAGAGTATGTAAGCACCAACAAAAGCTCAACAACACCTCTGCACTCTCAAAGACTTCAGAGAACAAGCCCAAGAAGAGAGGCAAGGAGACAGAAACAGCAAGTAGCACACCAATTCCACGCACTCAAAATTGTTCTGATTTGCAGCACTGGGCTTCCACCCAAGCAGCGCATTTCCCCAGCTGCTGGGCACAATCTCGTCCCACCTCATCTTCAGACTGCCTGTCACCTCCCTGCAGTTGGGAGAGAGAGAGGCTGCAAGCGAGAGCGTGCGCAGGAATCACGGCAAGGACAAAGCCAGTTCTTTGAAAATTTGGCCCTCATATTGTAAAATGTTTTGCTGGGCAGATATCTGCAAGAACATTCAGCATGCTATAACGGTAATAAAATGACGAAGACTATGGCAAAAAGTTTTGAAAGCCAAGCAGACTGTGGTTATAGGTTACAGCTTTTAATTCATTCTCAAGATTCATTCTGTCTTTGAGCTATACAGAAATCACAATGAATTGGGTTGAATGAACCAAGAGTGATAAATCAAACCTAGAAGTTTGCAAAATATGCAATTCCTTTTATTATTTATTTCACCTAAGGAATAGCAAATAAGCTTTTAAACAATGACAGTACGCAAGTGTAAAAACGCTGCGTGTTTTACCAGGATTAAGTGGTAAATTTTTTATGGGGATTAAGAGGCAGAGCAGAGAGCAACAAAGTAACACCAAGAACTGATAAAAAAATCATGGTTTTGAATTTCAGGGTTCGTTTTCCTTCCTCTGTCATTCCATTCTGTCCCACTTTCAACTTAACAGTTTATGAAAGCACCTTCTAACAAAGAAGCATAGATCTGGCCTAATTGCTATTAGCCATCACCAAACCAGGTAAATTTTGGGAGCCCTTAAAAACAATCACAGATCTTACAAGCAAAGAAGGACACAATCACCAAAAGTTTTTCTGTTTACTACAGAGTTACAATGTGAAAGACTAGAAAAGTTGTGCCAGAATAGTCTTTACATAACTAGTCAATTTTCTCTGGGTACTTTTTGTATCAAAGGTGGCAGTGCAGGGAACAGACATTTCCACACAGCAATTAACCATTAGGAAGAAAAGAATTATTCACCAGACAGATATTCAACTGTGTCTTAGTTGTGCAAAGACTAACGTTCTGGCATAGGAAAGTACATACAGCTAAGGAAGTTAAAAATCTAACACTTGAACAGACAACAAAATATTGATGGGAATTACTACACATTCACCAACCTGAAGAGGATATCTTTATTTCTTTGGACCTTTATTGTCTGTGGAACAAAATCTCACTTCTTGCAGAAAGGGAAAAAAATTAATCCAAGCTGAATCAGTTAACTGATAAAAATCAGTAGCTAGAGCTTGTTAAGTGGTTTTACAGGAATGCAAAAGTGAATGGCCGTCAGCAACATCAGAGCAGTCAACCAAAAGAAAACTACGGACAAGTTCGAGGCTTTGGTTTACGCCACCAGACAAATTAGCACTCCAAATACATGACTCTTGTGGACAACTAGG